CTCCTCCTCCCCCTCTTCTTTCTCCTCATCTTACTAATCCTCTTCCTCCTTCCTCTCCTCCCCCTCCTCCTCTTCCTCCTCCTTTCCCTCCTTTTCCTCTTTCTCCCACTCCTCCTTGCACCCTAATCTCTACAGACGAAGTGAGGACTGGCACCTACCGCCAACTCTTTCATCCTGACCAACTGATCTCCGGAAAGGAGGATGCTGCGAACAACTACGCCCGGGGACACTACACCATCGGCAAAGAGATTGTTGATCTGGTGCTCGACCAAATTCGCAAGATCGCCGAACTCTGCAACGCCTTTCAAGGCTTTCTCTTTCTCCATTCCTTCGGCGGCGGCACTGGATCCGGCTTCACCTCGCTCCTGATGGAGCGTCTCTCGGTCGACTACGGGAACAGAACCAAGATCGGGTTCTCCGTCTATCCAGCTTCGCGCATCTCGACCGCCATTGTAGAACCCTACAACGCAGTTCTCACCACCCACGACACGTTGGAGCACTCTGACTGTGCTTTTATGGTTGACAACGAAGCCATTTACGATGTGTGCAGGTCAGCTTTTATCATGCCCTCATTTCGTGTCTGTTGTTCTTACAGTCCTCATCCTAATTATCTATCCATCAAACTATCGATCCATCTGTCTGTATGCATTTCTATCAATCGTATAAAATAGGTAGACATATGTATAAACACTCAAATATCTATCCATCTATCTATCCATCTGTCTGTTTATCTGTCTATCTATCTTTATGGTAGGAAGACATAAAGATAGATACATATATATTTATATATAAGTACTCTGATTCTGAATCTATGGTTAATAATGGAGCCATATATATATATATATATATATATATATGTATATATATATACAGGTCAGCCTCCACTTTGTGAAGCATATATGCACCTAGGCTTCATTTTATAGATAAAATGTTTAGTTACTGTCTTCCACTGTTGAAAGTCACTAACTCTGTCTCTATATATATCTATATGCATCAGCATATATATGAGTGTATAGAAGCGCTCGAATAAATATATATATGTTTACACTCATTCGAATATATAGATAGAAATATTCGGATATATGTACTGAGAAGTATATGGATATATATACATATAAGCCTTCCGATTATGCAGTTATGATTGACAAAGAAGCCATATATATAATATATGTGCAGGTCTATCCCCACGTTGTGCCTCATACATGCACTAAGGCCCCATTTTTTGAATAAACCTTTATTTGCTGTCTTATCTTGTTGAAAGTCTCTAATCCTCTCTCCCTATATATATATATATATATATATATAAACTTTATTCATTTAATTATAAATGTATACCTCGTATTGTTTATGCAGAAGGAACTTGGACCTCGAGAGACCAACTTACAACAGCCTGAATCGACTCACGAGCCAGATCCTCAGCTCGATTACGGCCTCACTTCGCTTCGACGGAGCCCTGAACGTCGACTTGAGCGAGTTCCAAACCAATCTGGTACCATATCCGCGCATCCACTTCCCACTGGCTACGTATGCACCAGTCGTCTCCGCCGAGAAAGCCTATCACACGCCTTTGAGCGTGGCCGAGATCACTTTTGCCTGCTTCGAGCCGGCCAATCAGATGGTGAAATGCAACCCCAGACACGGTAAGTACATGGCCTGTTGTCTGCTGTACCGAGGCGACGTGTTGCCGAAAGACGTGAACGCGGCCATCTCGGGCATCAAAAACAAGCGCTCCATCCAGTTCGTCGATTGGGTGGCGACCGCCTTCAAAGTGGGCATCAGCTACCAGAAGCCGACGGTGGTACCGGGCAGTGATTTGGCCAAGATTCCACGTGCCGTCTGCATGTTGAGCAACACGACGGCAATCGCAGAAGCCTGGGCGCGTCTCGACCACAAGTTTGACATGATGTATGCAAAACGCGCTTTCGTCCATTGGTACGTCGGCGAAGGCATGGAGGAGGGCGACTTTACCGAGGCCAGAGAGGACTTGGCCGCTCTGGAACGCGACTACGCCGAGGTGGGCGTCAATGTGACCGATTCAGAAACGGAGGGGATGGAATAAGCGGGGTTAAACGTGAAAGCATAAAATTGTCATCAACCTCGACTACCTTAGAGAAGGCCGAAGGCGTGTACATCGTTGGCTGTGAGCCCGAAGCAATCTTCTTCAAAGTTAGTCAAATAAAAAAGTAAAACATCCTAGCCAAAAATGAATCTGGGCGCGCACAAGAGGACGCAAAAATCGAAAGCCCAGAGAATGTGAATAAAAAATAGTCGAGTACATTCAATCCTCGAATATGTACAGTGTTGTGTATACGTGTGAGTGTCTGTGTACGCTTGCGCCGGTGTGTGTGTGTCGTATATAGCTAAGTAGTAAAAAAGTAAAAAAAGGCAAAAACCGTTGCTCGTTGCTTCGTTATTTGGCCAAAAGCTCATTGAAAAATTCATAATTTGGTTGCCCAAAAAAGGTTGTACAAAATGAATAAAATGCAATTGTCCTTTATTTTGTTTTTTTTTCATTTCTATTCATTTGGGTTAAGTTTGGCAGTCTCATCTGATCCGTCGTCTCTCAGAAGCATAGCTCAAGTCCACCTAACTAAAAGGATCAGTCCAGCTCCTGCCTACGTGA